TATATATATATATATATATATGTGTGTGTGTGCTGTCAAACGATTAATTGCGATTAATCACTAATATATATATATATATATATATATATCAGTGGAGTTAAAAGCAGCTCGTAAGTGTATTTACTTGTCTCATTAGTGTTTAGTGCAGTTGTCGTTGCTAGGAAACGCTTGTTTTGTTTACTGTGTGGAGCCGAAGAGTGTAAAGACCATCGACTCTACCGGGATAAGTATCGCTTTTTATTTCTCCTCTTTCCTATTACTTGTTTCGCTTCTGTTTCAGTTTTTATAACCATTTCTTACTATGTGCAAGTAAGTTGTTGTTATTTAGCATGTAAGTGTTATTTTTTAGGATTAACGGTCGCTTTGGATAAAAGCGTCTGCTAAATGACTAAATAAATAAAAATAAAAATAAAGAAATATCTGTCCTGCTCGTGTCCCGCAGCCGTGTCAAAGCACAGAGCCCGATATGAAACATTTATCTGGGGAAATGATAATTAAACATGACTTATTTATTACATTTCGATACAAACTAACTTTGTATTGTTTCTGTTTTAATGTACTTTTAAAGTTTGGATCCCATTAAAAGCGTAATTTGTACGTTAGTGTATTATTTTCGCCAAAGATCCAGCCTCGTCAAAAATTTAACTGCTTAATCGACCATCGATAGCTTTAATCGATTGCATCTCTTATCGCAGATTAATCGTCTTAATAGACATTTTTAATGATACATCTGTGTAATTAAAAGGATGAGAAGTTGTTGTTTCTTACTGGCCTCTATATACAAGCTCTCATTTAAACGAACAAATCAAGCCGAGCAAATTCATGTAAAATATTTTAAAAACCACGTATTATACAGACACTTCATACTAATGGTATTTTATTATTTTTATCGCGCTTAATGCATTATGCTTTCAATAAAACATTTGCAATGGGTTTTTAAAAGCTGTTTGCATGCATGTTTCGAGCGCTTCTTTGCGAGCAATTGGTTTAATTGATCCGAAGCTTCAAAAGGTTAGTTTCTCCCATCATTGCTCACCGGTGCTGATGCAGCGTCTTGCGGTCGAGCTCCCAGGCCAGCTCAGTGCAGAACTGCGGCTGCTCTTTGTGTTCGACGGGGTCTGTGGCCAACGTCTCTCCGTCAAAGCAAGCCTCGACTACCAGCGTGTGCCGCGGACTCCTGGGAAACTGACGGCCTGATGAAGAGAACACAGATCAGTCGTGCTGCTTCAGAGGAATATACACTGGAAAAGTGCTATAAATATAAACAGACAGCGATTACAATGAGAAAAACATACAAAATGTCTCTGAAAGAAGGGTATTCTTTGATTAGTGACATATCTGTCAGTAAACACATATTTACATATAATTAATAAGCATGTCTAGCCTCGAAAATCACAGGTGATTAATATGAAGAAATCACCGTCTTTAATAATTCACGATACTGCATTCGCTTTGATTTTACTGCAGGAGTCATAATAAACAAACAAATCTCGCTGTTACCTTCGAGAACAGAAACGACAATCAGCAGCTGCTCTGATTTTGAAGCCATCTCATCTCTCTGCGTTAATTAATCACTCTCATAATGATTTTAGGATGATTTCTGAACTGTTGTTTGTTTTTAGCGCGTCTGTTGTGTTCAAATAACGACAGTACTGTCAGTCTGCGGCACTTCCGCCGGAAACAGCAGCGTGTGAGTCGCGCTCCCTCTGCAGGGCGGGATGAGCGCATTACACGTTAGTCATATAAATGATCGTTACCATGGTAACCGTAACTACCGCCAAAAGTACCGCTCACAGAAAATACCATGTTTTTTTGCACATTTACCGTGGTAATGTCACGGTATTCTCTTAAATATATTCTAGTACTGTGTAAATACCATGTATTATGTATTTGGAAATCATTCAATATCATTGTAAATATAAGTGCCATGAAATATCCACTTATTTATTTGTAAAGTGCCATATTTTCAACAGTTGTTTTCACAGTAAAACAGATCTGTTTACGCAGATCTTATATTAATTTATTATGATTTTACAGCAGGTAACAAAAATATGTTCTAAGAACGATTTGTTTGAATGTTCCCTGAACGATCAAAACGTCCAGTTTTTTAAATGCTGTATTTTTTTTTCTTGGCTATGCAAACGTTAAAGGAACATTCCATTTTAATTAATTTGCAAACGTTGTGGGAACGTTACTTTTGAATGTTTCCTGAACGTTCTGAAAAGAGTAAACGTTTCAAAAAAAGCTAGATGAACAACGTATAATGTTTTTGTGCTAGCATTGCGAGAACATTTTTAAAGACCAGATAACTGAACGAATGTTACTGGAAGAACATCTGTTTATAACTTTGAGAAAACCTTGCCAGAATGTTGTGAGAACGTTCTCTGTTAGCTGGGACGTGTAGTAACAAGAACAATATTGTATTTAAGTGGGAACATAACTTGTTGACTTACTGAAACATGGTTTATTTTCATATTCTTACTGTAAACTCGACTTACCCTGTTGAAAAAAACAGCATATGCTGGTTAGGTATGTTTTGACGCTGGGATGCTGGTTTATGCTGGTCCTTTGCTGGTTTAAACTGGTCCTTTGCTGGTTTATGCTGGTCCTTTGCTGGTTTATACTGGTCCTTTGCTGGTTTATGCTGGTCCTTTGCTGGTTTAAGCTGGTCCTTTGCTGGTTTATGCTGGTACTTTGCTGGTTTAAACTGGTTTTTTGCTGGTTTAACCTGGTCCTTTGCTGGTTTAACCTGGTCCTTTGCTGGTTTAAGCTGGTCCTTTGCTGGTTTATGCTGGTCCTTTGCTGGTTTAAACTGGTCCTTTGCTGGTTTATGCTGGTCCTTTGCCTTTGCAGACATATTTAAGGACCAGCATAAACCAGCAAAGGACCAGCTTAAACCAGCAAAGGACCAGGTTAAACCAGCATCCCAGTGTCAAAACATACCTAACCAGCATATGCTGGTTTTTTCAACAGGGTATACTTTCACATTCAAATGGTTTTCCACACAAAAACAACCATCAGCATGTAAAAACAACCTTGACTTTTTATTTGGATTGCCAAACATGTTAAGGCAGAGACAGTATAAAAAGCAACTGCAGTTTGATGATATAGCAGACATCAAGAAAAACCTAATGACGGGACTCAACCAACCTACACCATTGACTTTCTGTCCAGAAAACCACTTGTAAACATATTTAGTTATGCATTACTATTGAAGTAACAATGGACTACGTCTGCCGTTTAGGTGAGGTGGGTAGACAACCATACATTGCACTGAATCAATACAAAGGTACATAAGCTAGTTATAGTCGCTGTTGAGCTTTGTTCAACTATGTACAACTATGTACATCACGATAATACTGTATGGCACTGAGATGAACTGTCGAGTGACATCCACTTTATACGATACAATAGATTAATGGCTGTTAATAACAGTATATTCATGTTAATAAGTCAATGCGGAGCGAGCCACCTTAAAGTCACTTAGAATCTATTGCAACCCGTCCTTTACCACATAGAGGTGATGAAATAGCAAATACATTCAATAGTATGGTTACAAGACAATATAAGTGCATACAAACAGCTAGATGTAGCCATTTACAGGCAAAATCCAATGACCAGAGGGTTTACGCAGACCTTGTTTGTAACTGGCACCTGAAGGAAATGTTTTTCAGGTTCGTGTCACCGTGTAGCCATGTCTAGTTCCACTGCAGCCCTCTATTAGTACATTCATTGGTTAGAAATGAAATTAGTCGCTGCCTCCAATGGAGGCGATGTGTAACACCATGGAATTGATGTCTGTGAATCCTTGCGTGAGTCGGGAACATCTCACATCTTCCCGTCGTTTTCTGCAGATTGAGATTAAACAGACAATAAGAAACCCAGCTAACAAAAATATGTTCTAAGAACGTTTTGCTGATGTTCCCAGTGAGTTATGAAAACGCTGAATGGTCAAAACGTCTAATTATACAATTAAACATTATAGGAACTTATAGGAAGTGATCATTTTGCAAACATTCTGTACATTCTTCGTTCTGAAACAAGTAGTAACATTTAAAAAAAGTTAGATGTGCATCCAACTGAAACGGTTCAGAAAAACGTTCCATGAATGATGTATAAATATTTTTTTTGTTACAATGCTTTGAGAACATTATTAAAGACCACATGACTCTAAACTATAACTCTAAAAATGTTCAACTGCTTAAGTTCAATCAATCAATTCAGTTAAGTATTTGTTAGACGCCTTTATTCAAAGCGACTTGCGCTGCATTCAAGGTGTACATTTCCAGGGTTGCCAGGATTGTGCGAAACACAACCAGCCCAATTGCTATTCAAAACTAGCCCAACCACGTTTTTTCGGCGGTTTTTGAATTTCCGTTCGGTCCTCTCAGTTGAATTACCATTCCCTGGGGTGGGATTTCTTTAACCCGTGCACTAGGGCTGTCAAAAAAAAAAATAGAATTTGAAATATTCGTTGAATTTAATGTAAAAATTCACATTTTAGGTGTGCATTTTAGGTGTGCATCAGGCAGCCTTATCAGTGGCGCACGAGATGCGATGGCGATGTGTTGCCTGTCCAGTTGAAGCCACTAGATGCGGCACTGCTGCGTTGTTCATTCAAAATATTGCGGAAAAAGAGAACAATGCGGAGAAGATCTTGTTTATGGCAAAACTGAAACCAAGCCGTTCACACAGAACGCATATTTATCGCATTTTCTAGAGGGACATCTATCACCTTTGCACTCGCGTCTCGCACAAAAGAGCCGCATGTTTAGAAAGCCATGTAAAATTAATGCAATTCAACTTTGAAAAAAATATCTCGAGACTTTGTGGCGGGGCTCCAACTCCAACTGAGATCCAACTGCATCTCATGTTTTTAAATGGAAAAAAGTACTCTGTGTGATTGGCTTTCGGTCCTTTGTATTAAACTATGCATACATGCATGATGCTGTTTTGTTTCTAATTGTTTAAGCAACTTAATTATATATATGGTTTATAAACATTATTTTAAACATTATGCACTTTTTTCAAAGATAGTCTTGTTATTTTATTGCTTTGAAGAAACGTGCATTAGTAATATTTTGCTCGATGCGCCCTCTTGTGGCCTCAGGAGAGAAGCCAAAAGCTTTTTTCCCCCCTAACTGAAATTATGCCTTTTAAATTTGAATATAATTCGAGTATTAATAATATTTAAGTACAAAATTCTAATTTAGTTTTTCAGCCATTTTGACAGCCCTATCGTGCACTAAAAAACAACCCACGGCAACAGTGTAAAAATAGCCCAAATCTGCTGAAAAACCAAATTGGCAACCCCGATGCATTCCCTGGGAATCGAACCCATGACCTAGTGCCATGATCTACTGTTTGAGCTACAGGAATTTATTTTATTGCAGAGGTAATTGCATTTGTTTTCTCACCGCTGGAGCAGGTCTGTGTCGTCGTCACTTGCTGGTTTGCAACCAGCGCCGCAGAGCTCAAACCTGAAGGATCATAGATCACAGAACATTACAATCAACTCTAACCACATGCATTCTTCACTGTAAACATGCTTAAAGGCCTCATATCATTTTTATCAAGCAATTTTGTTCCCTTGAGTTGCACCCAAAACCATTCATTGTTTAGTTTTTCATGAGCATCCCCACTCTCTTGCACTTAGAATTAAATGGTGAATTTTTGCTATATTTTCACACAAACAGCAACGGGAGAGTTGATTCTTGACAATATGGAGAGAGGGTTTGTGGTTCATGAGTCAAAATGCTTGAGTCGTGCAGCGTGCATTTGGCATAGGACTGATATGTACACGTCCTCTTAGTATGTGACATGGCAAAAGCACTTGTGGCTCATGTACCTGTTTACATTCATCTGTCATAAAGTTACAGAAGTTCAGAGTCAGTGTTGCAGATTAGTTTAGATGGATGCCATGCTCTTCATTGACTGGAGAGGAACCATTGTGAATGTTACAGACCTGAATGTTACAGTATGTTTTTTATTAAATTTATGGGATTTTTATGCCTTTATTCGGACAAGACAGTAGAGAGCAGACAGGGTAGAGAGAGAGGGAAGCGGGATCGGTAAAGGACCACAAGACGGGATTTGAACTCGGGTTGCGCTGTATGTTTTAATAGCACAACAAACTCTTGTGTTACAAGACTCCTCATGATATAAGCCCTTTAATATAGGCTATAGTGAGTTCAGTAGTGTAGTATAGTTCAGTTGTTTTTGACCTTTTCACCTTGAAAGGGGTCATACTGGCCAGACACCAGAGTGTAGCTCATGCCCAGGTGAGTGAGATGATGCGCCTGAAGGTGGCGGCCGAAGGGAACCGATTCTCTCTCCCGTTCAGTCTCGCGTTCCTGCTCTGGAGACCCTCTTTCTCCAGGCTGAAGGAGTAAAACATAATGTGTAAACAACTTTGAAATACTTTGAAGAAAATATGTGTCTCTGATTGTCATATATTTTCATTTGGTTAGACTGTCAAAGCCCTTTAACTGTACGTAAACAATTTGAAGGAATACTCTGTGCTGTCAACTTGTCTTTGGACAACAGGACACATACAGTATGTAAAATGTTAAAGGACCTACGTGAAACCATCACATTGATCAACTGTCTAATTCATTTATTTAAGTACTTCAA